ACTTGACCATATATTTTGAGGACATTCAATTCTTATTCCGCCAGAAGAGACTCGACATGAGGCATATTTCCTTGTCTTCCATGTAAGTAGTGTTTCCTTAAACTCATCCTAAAATATTGTTATATGTGCATGCGCTATCCTTTTAACCTCATATGTGCCATACTTTTGTGTAGCAAATAGTGGATGGACGCGGCTGAAGGGGATCATGATGCCTAAGAGGGGGGGTTGAATTAGGCAACTTAATATTCTAACTCTAAACTATGGCCGCTAATTCCAACCTTAGCAAAACCAATGCAAAAGATAAACTATCTAAATGTGCAACTATGGTTTTGCTAGTGTGTTGCTATCTCTACCGCAAAAGGAGTAATACAAACAATGTAAATGCGGAAGCTAAAGAGCAAGGTAGAGATATGCAAACTCCCATCGACGACTTCGGTATTTTTACTGAGGTATCGAGAAGCGCGCAAGCTTCCCCCAAGTCCTCGTTGGAGCCCCTCGCAAGGAATCCCTTGCGAAGGCCAAGCTCCCGGTCAGGTAACTCCATGGATAGCCTCGGGCCTTCCCCACGCTCAAGTGGGTCACCGACGTGCCTTCCGGCAAGCCTCTCCCAGATGCTCACCACCGTTTTCACTATCAAGCTTTCGGCCAAAACGCCGTGGGCCTTGTTCCCTCCGGTACACAGTGGCGGCCACACCACAAACGCGGTTGGTGTGATCTCGCAAGACTACAAGCCCCTCCATTGTACAACAATGATGCGCGCAAGCTTCGAGTGGTAAGAGGTATGCAAACCTCACTAAACACTAGTCTTAAACCTAGAGCAAGCGCATAAGCAGTGGTCTAATCAACCTAAGCACTTCGCAAAGCACCTACGCTAGTCACCTAATGAAACACTAAGCACTATAAAAGTGGAGATCACTAAAATGGTATATCAACACCCTACATATGTTTCCTTAGCTCTACACGTATAAAATGGCCAGTTAGAGGTCTATTTATAAGCCCCATGGAGAAAGTAGCCATTTGGAACAAAATCCCGCTTTTCTGCTACTGACCGGATGCTCAGGTCGTCCTGATCGGACGCGTCCGGTCATCCCGACCGTTAGAGCTACGATCAACTAATCGGACGCTGCTAGCGTCCGGTCACATGCCACCGGACGCGTCCGGTCGCAATTTTGCAGCTCTGGAACCTTTCTGTACTCGATCGGACGCTGCAGTCCTGCGTCCAGTCGATTTGCCGCTAGCGTCCGGTCGCTGCTGCTGACGGCTTCTGTTGTTGAGCCTCTTGATCGGAGCGTCCGGTCGCTATATGTCAGCGTCCGGTCACCTTTGTGCGCTCGTTTCTTCACGATCTTGCGTCCGGCTTAGTTTCTATCTTCGTGCTTGGACTTTGCTTGATATCTTGGGTCTTCTCTTGTGCTTCTAAGGTCTTGCTTATGGTGTTGATCATCGGATCATCATGTCGCCTTCGTCCCAGTCACGTCTTGCACCCTATTGGATCGCAAAACAATCACTTGCAAATTCATTAGTCCAATTTGGTTGTGTTGGTCATCAAACACCAAAATCCAAAGTAAATGGGCCTAGGGTCCATTTTCCTTACAGCGGACAAGTTGGACGTGAGGAGCGCATTCCTTGACCCTTGTCTCATTAACGAGGCACGACGTTGGGCCTCTAATGTGGAAAGATGATCATCCTGCATTCACGGGTGTCAAGGGCAAGGCGAGAAAAAAAGTAGGAAGGCAGCGCACAAAGAAGTAAAGTCAGAAGTTGCAATCTATATTGGGAATGTGATGCTAGCTTATCAGAGGTTCCAATATATATATGCCCCAGACTATTTCGGGTAAGATCAACTAGTATCATTTTTCACGTTATTTGGTTTACATCGGCCCACTGACACCAGTATCATTTTTCATGCAATTTGGTTTACGTTGACACCATTATCTTATTTGTACTAATGCAATGGTCACTTCACCTTAACATGCATCAATGTAAACCTTGGCACCATTTTGCTCTTTGACTCGATGAGAAAAGATGAAAAAACATTCCAATATTTCATCAATGTTTTATAGGCGTAAACAACCATAGTTTATTACTTGTGGGAGTAATTGTTGCATCCAATTGTTGTTATAGCGAAACTGAATCTTTCGTCCATCACGTTACTATAAATAGCACCTACGGTTATTACGTTAAGAAAGGTGGAGTGCATAACCCGGAAAAGCTGGATTAGATTTCCGTTTCTCTACATCCATGGGTATGACCACTCCATTGTTTATTTTTTGCATCACCGACCTGCAGTGCACGAGCTTGCCTCCCAGAAGCGTGCTTTGTGGCTACTTTGTATGTCAATGGCCTAGAACCAACGGGTGGTACTATAATAACCCTCAAGACGTAAGTCGGTCCGTCGAACCATATCATATGCATATGTTCATTAATATGAATCTAGCTAATTTTATCCCTTGTGTTTTGTGCAGCATAAGGCGTTTTCTCCTTCCTGTGTAATTAACCAAATGGATATTCAAGAAGTTCAAGATGATTTCCGCAAGTTTTTGGTGCGGGAGGTTCTGGAGGGGCTTATTCTATGATCGTAATTCAGAGTATGCCATACATCAGAAGTTTGTGGCTCTTCGCGTTACAGCCGATGAAACCTTCAAATCATTGTTGTGATGAAGCACAATGTTATTTACTAGTTTGTAATGTAAATTAAAGCATGCTACAAATACTTTGTGAATCAAATTTGTATTAGTTACCTAGTTCACTAGTATATACAAAGTTTTTTTGAATCAACTATTGCAATAGGCTTTGAAATGCGGTGGAAAACAGGTGATTTCATATCGTGGGAAATTTCAAAAATTAAAATCTAATTTTTAGGGGCGGTTTCAATAAGCCAACAGCCATTGAAAATGTGTTTTTACAAGCGGCTGCATTGCCACAGCCATCCTTGAAAAACAGGTTCAAGGACGGTTAGAGTGCAGCAACCACCACTAAAAATAAGTTTACAGGGGCGGTTCTCCTATTGCAACCGCTCCTGAAAATAGATTTTTAGGGGCGGTGTCGTGGGGTTGAAACCGCGGCAAGCATTATTGTTCGTTGGGTGTCAGAGTGTGTGTCTCCGGTGGCTCGGGTGGGGCTCAAAAACACAAGAATCACAGAGGGGATGCAACGGTTTATCCCGGTTCGGGCTATCGGGGCCCTATGTCCAGCAGCTGATGATCCTTCTACTCAAGAGCACCCAAAATCTGAGGGATTATAACAGAGTGCAAGAGAGAGAGAGTTGGTAGGGGATCTCTCGGTGCTGATCCTAGGAAGCCTCATCGCCAATGGCGCCTTCCCCCTCGTCGAAGAGGAGGAAGACGATGGAAGCGGTGGAGTAGCTCTCGGTGCCCCTCTCTGGGTTGCTATGCTCTCGGTGCAGAGCGTGAGCTGAACGGTGAGGACTCGATTGATCTGTCTTGGATCGTCTAGGAATCGTCCTCCCCCTCTCTAGGATCAGACCTCCCTTTATACATCGAGGTAGATCGGGTACATGGCGGTTTGGGGAGTTAAACCTATTGTCTACATGCGCCGGAGTCCAAGAGGGTCCTGCAGCGGCGCGCCGTGGACCGTGGTGATGTCGCGGAGCCAAAGAACCTCTGGGGGTCGCCCGGCTGCTTTGTTCTGACATGCTGAGTGTCAGGCTGTGTCGGCTTGGACCGGCCTCTACAGGGTGCACCTTCTGAAGGCTTCTTGGTGGTGAAGGCACCCGGCTTGAGGGGCCGACGCGCGGGCCTGGAAGCCTCCGAGTCCCTGAAGCCAGCGGAGGAGTTTGTCTTCTTGGGTCATGCCCCATGCGTGACCCTGTCGGAGGAGCGGTTGACAGAGCCGCGCCTACAGGGCAGCGCTAGGGAGCCCCTGAGCCTTGTTGGCTTAGGGCGCCTGTCTCGTGCTTGGGCCTTGGCTAGCGTCGAAGGCCGGGAGGGGGCCAAGGATTAGGTCCAACATGTTGATTGGGAGCCTGAGGCTCGAGCGAGCCCCCGAGTCCCAAGTAGAGGCGGCGTGCATGCTTGGGCTTGGCCTGATTCCTTGGCCAGAGGGTACACGCAAGCTTACCCGATGGGTATAGGCCCCGGGCGATCCTAGAAGGGTCGTTCGGGGGGTCTCTCTGTCGGGAACCCTTGATCCCAAGGCTTAACACACCCTCGTCAGGCGGTTCTGCTATTGCAACCGGAGTGGATATCTGAACGGAGGCGCCCCTAAAAATGCTTTTGTTGAGGCAGTTAGAAGCCCGACGCTACAAACGCCTATCTTTACAATCAATAGCATAGTTGTGGTTTTTTGAACTGTCGCTGAAGATCGTTTTGACCGACTCTAAAAAAACTTTTCTGTGCTAGTGTTGATCTCAAATCAATGGAATCAAGGTGTGCTCTTGATACCTTTTGTCAGGGTCCAATACAGAATCTGATGGTAACCTGAGAAATCAGTAGGAATTTGGGAGAAAAGAGGTAGAAAGGAGAGGTAGGGATCCGGACACGCATAATCATGCCAAGACCGTGACAGGAGTGCCACTTGCTGCTGCAGCCGCTTTCTGCAGGCCCACGTGTGGCGAGGATGTGCTCGTAGAAGACGTCGCCGCCGTGGGCACACCAACGAGAGCGCAAGGCCACCTACAGCCCACAATATAATGCCCGATGTTGATCCTGCTCGGCAGATTGTTGGTGCTGCCAAATCCACGCTTTGTTAGGCAGCGTGTCTCTTTTGAAATTGAATCCACGCCAGATTAGTGATTGCCTGTGATTTTTTCTGGCAAATTGAATGATTACAGCTTGTGTGTGTGTGAAATGATCCGGCCGGATCCCCCATTCCCACCAGTCGGCGTCAAATCACTGGATCCAGCCACCAAACCTAACCACCAAGCAACCATGCTTCCCCCTGGCGAATCTCAGCCGCCGCCGCCGCCGCCGGCGGCGGAGCGTGCGGTGGACCTGCTAGGCGACCTCACGACAGACGTCCTCGACAAGATCCTCGCCGGCATGCCCGCCCGCGACGTGGTGCGCACGTCCGTGCTGTCGCCGCCGTGGCGCCGCCGCTGGGAGTCCGTGCTAGACCTCGACATCGAGCTCCACGACGTACCTGACGAAGCCGGCGCTTGGGGCTCCATCGCCGGCTTCCTCGAGCGCTGCGCGGCCCCCGTCGGCTGCGTCAGCATCCGCGGCGTCCCGCTGAGCGTCTACCACCGCACCGATGACTGGGTGCGCGCCGTCGCGGGGAAGAGCCCGCGCTCGCTGTCCCTGGCGCTCCCCCTGGCCACGCCGCTGCCGTCGCTCTTCCACTGCGACCCCGCCGTGCTGGGCGAGCTGGAGCTGCGCTGCTGCGCGATCCCGGCGCCGCCTGACGGCTTCGCGGGGTTCCAGAGGCTAAACAGGCTCGATCTGGACGACGTGGTCTTCACAGGAGGGAATGCGTGGGCGCAGCTGGAGGCCATGGTCTCAGCGGCCGCGCCCACGCTCGTGGACCTCCGCCTGCAAAACATCGCTTTCGCCGTCGCCGATGACGGGACCGTCCCAGGCGGTGGGTGGGTCATCCAGGCGCCCAACCTCCGTCGGCTGGTGCTGCGCCTGAGGATCGCTGGCGCTGGCCTCTGGGAGCTTGGGCCGCTGCCGAACCTGGAGTTTGCCAGAATCTTCCTCAACGACTCCGCAGAGAATATAGACTACGTCCAGATGTTCACAGCCATTTCCAACGTCAGGGAGCTTCACATCGGCAACTTTGACATGGCCACACAGGTAAATTCAACTGTGACAGGTTCTCTTCTCTTAAGCTTAATTATTACCAGATCCTGCATCTGTCTTGCATCGGTCTCCCTTTCACCATTATTGTGTGGCGTGCATGCTTATCCACTGAATTTCTGTGTCTACAAATATCTGAAACCCAACAATGAAACACGAGCTTTGTTGTTCAATTCTAAGCCATATATTCGTATAGGTCAAATGGTTGCTATCATGATGGCCTATATACCAGTGCTTAATCATTGCATTACTTGTGGTGTCAAACAATATGTTCAAAATATTGTAGATATTTTGCATGGTACCTTGTACTGCATACACTACTGGATTCAGGTTCTTTGCCGAGTGCCTGAGGCACTCGGCAAAGGTCAAATTGCACTCGGCAAAGCCTTTGCCGAATGCGGCACTCGGCAAAGAACACACGGCAAAAAATTGATCGGCAAAGCTCTCTTTGCCGAGTGTCTTTTATCAGGCACTCGACAAATGCTTTGCCGAGAGCCCCAGGGGCACTCGGCAAAGAAAAACGACCGTCACGGTGCCGGCCCCATTGACGGTCGTTTTGCCGACTGCCAAACCCTGTAGGCACTTGGCAAAGATTTTTATTTTTTTTAAAAAAATCTTTGCCGAGTGCCCTCTATCCGGCCCTCGGTAAAGATGTTTTATTTTTTTTTCTAAAAATTCTTTGTCGAGTGCCCCCTGGCCGGCGCTCGGAAAAGTTTGAATTTTTTTAAAAATAAATTCTTTGCCGAGCGCCCTCTGGCCGGCACTCGGCAAAGTTTGAATTTTTTTAAAAAAAAAATCTTTGCCGAGTACCATGGTCATGGCACTCGGCAAAGCTGGAAAATGATTTTCTGAGCGCCCATTTTTTTAGCTTTGTTGAGTGCTGTGATCATGGCACTCGGCAAAGTGACCCAAAACGACAATTTTTAATTTTTTTTACATTCCATCGTGACAAATAAATTCATACAAACATATATCTCATCCATCCACACATCCATCCGCACATATCACATCCATCACAATATATATCACATCTATAATAATAAGTGCTCAAGTCCATCCAAATAAATCCATAAGTCCATCAAAGTCCACAAGTGCATCACAAGTATATCACAAGTCTATCACCAAGTGAACAACAAATGAAAAAAATACAACGTGCACTCATCTCGGCCACTGCGACTGTGGTGAAGGCTCAGCTCCATCATTCGGAGATGCATGAGGTGGATTATTCGAACCACCGTCAGATGGAGACTGCACAAAGGAGAAAAGATTGCATGTGAGACAAGATTATTTGGATAGCTAATATAGGAAGGTAGAGGCCAAACAAGCAAAGCACAATCGAAAGTAAAAAACTTTCATACTCACAGGAGTAGCTGCAGCTGCAGGACGCGGAGGCGGAGGTGGAACCAACAGCCCAGCTGGCAGAGAGAAGCCCACACGTTGCCCAAGCCCTTGTAGGAACTCCGTAATGTCCATCAGCCTCTACGCCTGGGCCTGCCGCTCAGCCTCCAGCTGGGCCGCCATCCTTTGCTGCTCGGCTTCCGGCTCCTGACATTGCCTCATTTCTTGTTTCAGCCAGGCCTGCAATATTTCACTCCAATATTTTAGTAATGCAAAGCTAATTAATGTGTGTAAAGATCAACGCATGACGAGTAAAACAGGAATAACCTCGAGTGCGTCGACCCGGTGCTGTGCAGCGATCGGCCATGTGCGAATGGCTGGGCTCTCGCTCGTGCTCCGTGCTCGGATATGGGAGAGAGAGGGAGTAGAGGCCGTGTCGATGACGCCGTCGCCAAGCCAGAACCGCCCATGCTTCTTGCCTTGCCCCGCCCTCATGACGACCTCTCCATCGAAGTCCTAGGTGCTTGGATCGTGGTCTGGCCCATGGAGCGACCTCGCCACCTCAGTGTACTCACTGATGCAGAAGTGGACGCTCAGGTTTGTGTATGCCTCGGGTGGGTCCTCCAGGTTGAAGGAGACGTCAGACGTCGCCTTGCCCTTGTGGGGCATACACCAAGCCTAGAAGTCCGAGCAAGCTTGGCCACTATGTGACGCCGACTGCAAGAAAGATAGCACGATGATTAGAAATCAGGCAGAACTGAGCGTCACAATAGATAAATAAATTCGTGTACCCATGCTTGTTTGTATCCGGCGAGGCTACGGCTGCCTTGATGGTGTGCTGGACCTTGCATCTGCAAACGACGGTCCCGTGCATCCCTATGCATCTTGAGGTACTCCTCCGTGAACCACCTCTCCACCATCATCGCCCAGCACTCGGGATACGCTTGGCACCACCAGGGAATCATCTACATGTCATCAAGTATTGGACATATAAGAAGATCAAATTAAACCAACTTAATCTCAAAACGAATCAATATTGATGTTCTTCATTTACCTCAAGGTACTGCTCCCGGGTCAGCTGCATCTCTCTTGCGTCTTTCTTGGTTTTCCTCTCTCCAAGCTTCGACCCGTAGTAGGTTACGATGGCCTGGATGCGCACCTTGTGATGCATGTCGGTGACGAGTTTTTTACAGGCTTTGGTAGTCACCTGCTCCGCCCTGGCCTCAAATCCCTCCTCGCATCTGTAATAAGTCTGCATACAAAAGCGATGTATCCATTCATTATTTCAAGAAAAGTCCAATGAATGCGACGTATTGAGCAATGTTGTGCGAGGGAGACTTACCCAAAACTCTGCCTTCACCCGCGCTGACTTGTTGGGGTACTCCGCATCGAGGGCGACGGCGTAGTGGTCAAACGAGTAGGCCGGCTCCATCTTTGATGTGTACGTGACAATGCCGGGGAAGTGTTGCCTGCACAGAAGACCCAGGATGCCGTTGACTAGCCGTGCGCTACCACCCGACACAACCACCTAGTTCCTGCACAAGTGATTAAGAAAAATTATTAGTTTTTTTCATCATATCATATGAAGTAGTGGTGATAACATATAAAGTTACTTACTTTTGCCCTTCGGGGCGAATCACTGGGCGTTGGTGAGGAAGCGGAACCTGTGGGAGGCTCGCGGGACCTCGCAAGTAGACACTCAAAGAGGAGTCGGAGGAAGCGGAACCCATGCTTGCCACCTCGCACTCGTCGTCCTCGTGCGGCCCCTCCTCCTCGTCCATTTGCCGAACCAGCTCCTCGTCCAACTCATCCACGGGCGCCACCTCCTCCTCTAGCTCCTCCTCACACGGCGTGGGAGGAGACGGCCCCCTCCTGTGGCTGGTGGTCCTCCTCCTCCTCCTCCTGTCCGATCCCTCCGCCGCCCCCTCTGCCTCCTCCTACAGCCGGCGTGGTCTTTGGTAAATCGAGTTCATGGACCTATGACGGTCGCCCGCCATCTTTGTTCAATCACCTGCAATTAAAAAGAAAAACAAGACGTAATTAGAAATAGGTGCAAAAATGAACAAAACATAATTACAAAAAACATAGTAATACATGTATTAGAAATATATGCAAAAATGAACAAAACATAATTACAAAAAACATAGTATTACATGTATTAGAAATAATCTTCATGATTGAGATTAGCTGGATCATAGGTCTCGTCATCACTATCAACATTGTCCAACTCATCAACACTATCCGAAGGAGGAATGTTGTCTTCATTGTCATTGCCTAAACGTAATCACTCAAGCATTTGTATGTCCTTCAGATTTCGCACCTCGTCTCCAGCATCCTCGTCATCATCCCTTTCATTGTCTACTTCCATTCCTATCTCTTCAGTTAAGTCTATGTCAAACCTCCCTTGTAGCCTCTCTTCTTGATAGAACTCTCCATCATATGTGTTTGGGTTGAAGTTGTAATCTTCATCGTTTGGGACACGTAGTTTACCGTGTGGCGATACCTTGTGCACAATAGACCAACCCTTAAGATGCTCGGTGTCTTTGCACGTGTATGACGTATAATAAACATGGACGGCCTGTTGAGCCACAATGTAGACATCTTTTCCTGGATAGACGAAATCCTGTCGAATCTCGACTAGCCCAACCTTAGGGGTCCGTCTCGTTACTCTAGGATGAAACCAGTGGCATTTGAATATGACAGGAGTAAGAGATTTGGAACCATAGAATGATAGTTCGTAGATTTCTTCAATTCTTCCATAATAGTCGAGTCCATCAGTGACAGGCGTAACAACTCCGTTGTTTGTGGTTTTTTGATTGGGCCGACTCTGCTCGTAGCTTGCTGTGTGAAAATGATATCCACTCACGTCATAACCGGTAAATGACTTGACCCTAACGGCACAACCATTTGCAACCTGTCTCAGCTCGTCACTTATAGGCGCATCAGTTTGGGCTTTCTGTTTGAACAAACAAATGAAATCGGGGCTCTCTGGTCCCGCACCCTGTGAAAGAAGGGTATCATTTTCTTGCGGGATAGGTTGCCTTGATCCATGCCAGGATTGACGAAGAAATTCCCTGTACCAACGAGAAACAAGGGGGTTGGATGAAGAAACAAGGACATACGGCGAAATGAAACAAGTTCGTTCAGAACTTACCCAATGAACGACTGCACCTCGACAAGGTTGGTCAACACATATAGCATGATACTGCGCCACTCTTCATTTTTAAATTGCTTAGTGGTCGATGCACTTGCGGTTCTGAGTTGCCCTTGGAAAAGGCTGAGGTTCGATTCATTTTCGCCAGCATTGTAATGAGGGGGTGGATTATAAACGCTAGGAAGGTTCTCAGTGTAGTATTTCTCTATGAAGTTCGACACCTCCTCTAGAATGTATGCCTCTGCAATGGAAGCCTCAATTTTGGCTTTATTTCTACATTTTTTGCGAAGAGTCTTCAGACATCTCTCGATTGGATAGCACCAACAGTCCTGCATGGCCCCCCCATCCGTGCCTCATACGGGAGGTGCACAATCAAATGTTGCATCGACAAAAAGCAGCCGGGTGGAAAGATCTTCTCCAACTTATAGAGCAACACGGGTGCCACCTTTTCCAAGTCATCAATGACGGTTCAAGAGAGCTCCTTGGCACAAAGTTGGCGGAATAA